TGACCCGGCCTCCGGTCTGGGGTGGCGGCGACAAGCCATTGGTGAGACTGGCCAGGGGAGGAGCAGTGTAGATGACGAATGTGGCTCCAGATGGGTGAGCACCTACCCAACCCCAAACCTTTGCAGCCCGGCATGGTGCCGGGCACACAGCAGGGGCCAGCAAGCACAGATAAACCAATTGCACTGGCTCCTGCACACTTCCTGCCTCCCCGTGCCAGGGGCGCCCCTGCACTGAAGGCAGAGAGCCCTTCTACCCACGGGACCCTTCCTGATTGGGAGCCCCCTCGTCCTTCCCTACCCTATGGTAGCTTGACAAAGCAAAACCCCACAGTTCCTTTCACACCCTCTGCCTGCTTTCCTTCAGGTCTGCTGCCTTATTTCTGTCAGGCCCAAGCATGTGGGCTGCTTAGGTTAATCCTTCCCCATGATTGCATGAGGAACATTTTGGCAAGGTTTCTTTCCTATAAAATCACACTGCATGGGTGGCCGGCTTGTGTCCCTGCTGTCCAGCGTCTCCCTCTGCAGGGTTTTCTTGCTAATCAGCCACAGCCTATGGCTTTGAAAAACATAGTTAATATTCCACAGAAAACCAACCCAGTTTCTGTAAAGAGCCAAATACTGTTGAATCAACTCTGTGCAAATGGCCATAGAAATAGCTCCTTGGGGTCAGACCTGTCCCCGCCCCACCAGTCCTCCTGGTGCCTCTCTCCCTGTTCAGTTCCAGATGGCTTCAGTGAAAGCCAGAAGCCATTGGTCCAGAAGCATCTTGCTGGAGGTGTATTGGCACATGGTTGTCCCCATGGTACTAACAGTGACACGTCAACCACGTGGAAGGGACCTCAGAGATATTCCCATCCAGTGCCACCAACTTAACAGATGAAACTGAGGCTTAGAGAGGCAACTGTCTGTCCCACAGTCACAGTTAGTCAGGGGCATAGCCAGGGCTGGAACCCAGGCCTGCTGACTTCTGCCCTCCCGCAACACCCTCTGGTGACCCGTTCCAACATCCAGCAGTTTTAACTTTCCTGTCCAGAGGAATGGTGGTTTTCTAAACAGCTAGCCAAGTCCCAGGCAGGTCCCAGGCAGGAGGTCTCTGAAGGACTTGACAGCCACTTGCTCCTTCTGGCACACCATATCTGGTGTCCCCTTCAGACGCTACTTCCCCACCGGATGTAACACTCCAGGGATGTGCTGATTCAGCCTTACCTCCTGATTTCTTCTGGACTTCAGAACAGTGTGGACTTGTTGTTTTTTAGACCTTAGTCAGGGCAGCGTGTCCCTCCAGATCCCCGCCAGACCCTGCCCTGGGGCTGGGGCCCAGCTGCCGCCTGGCTGCCCTGCGGGCTCAGCCTGCTCCTGTGTGCCTGGCAGGTGCTCTGGCAGAACAGCGCTCCCTTAGTGAGATCAATACTGCTCCTCTCCTCTCTCTGGGAGCCACTTTTTTTCCTTTCTTACATAATCAGGTTTTTGCCACTTTAGGTTGACAATTCTGCTCCTCATTACCCGACTTTCTACCCCAATACTTCTACCGAAGAAAACACCCTAATGCAGACAGAGGGAAAGGATGGAGTTCAAGTCCCCGCTAAAGGTCAACAGTGCTCCAGGCAACTGCTCCAGGGGAGAGGGCCCAGAGCTTCAAGTCCCCTGGGACTGGCATGTCCAGGAGGCCTAGTGTGTGCTGTGAGATTCAGCACAGCGCTACTTACTGGGGGAAAGGGATGGGACACTTGGACCCCTGTTAATTAGGAAACCTAGGCCGTGGTTCTCACCCCTAGGACCACCGGGGGGATTTACAAAACAGTCATGCCTTTCTGCTCCCAGAGACTCTCATTGGCCTGGGGTGTGGCCTGGGCTTTCCACAGCTCCTCAGGCCTCGGGACACCGAGGTGGAGGAGGCCTTGGAGACCATCCAGACCAGGGCTCATTACGTGGTGCAAGAATGAACGTCAGCCCCTGGACCTGGATTATGTTTATTGTGTTGTCTTATGTGGATGATCGCCTCCCTGGGTAGGGGACCCAAACCTTTTTATCAGATTCTCAGTGGGTTCCATGTCCCCCAACAGGCCAAATATATCCCTCACGGTGGTCCCACATCCAGATGCTCAGACTATGCTCCGGTTTGGGGGAAACAGGGTTAACAAACCTAACAGATAATGTTCCTATTTCTATAAAGAAACTATACCCAGTAAAAGCCAAGTTTATCGGCTTTTTGCTGAAGTTAGATCAACTCAGTGTGGTCACACTGACTATCTCATGCTGTTCAGAATCGCTTCCTGGCACGATTATATGTCTTTGATTAATAAAAAATGAGAAATGGATTATTAATTAATGCACTGTGTTTGGAAGGCAAAAGCCCTCAAAACCGAAGATTCATGGGAAGAAGTAATCAAAGGGGTTCTTCGCGGTAACAGGTTGGGAACCACTGGTCTAATACAACTCCCTTACATGAGAGATGAAGAAACAGATCCAGAGAGTTAAGTTAAGGAACTATCTTTAGGTCACGCAGTTAGTTATACAAAGTTGGGACCTTTGCCCAAGCCTTCCAGGCATGCCACAGGGGACAAAAATAATTACATGCAGGATGTCTTGTTGGAAATCCTCACTTGAAATAATTCCATTGACCCAGACTCAGGAAATCTCTCTCTGGTCATGGAGGTTGTGTGGGCCACAGATAACCTGCACCTACACAGAGTGTGAAAAGTTATATATTCCAGGATTTCATCCAATCTAAGATATCATCAATTGGAAGATACACCATTGTTTTTTGTACCACCAAGAAAAGGTACTGACAAATATAAAATACCATGTATCATAAGATGCATGCCAATTTTAGAGATGTTAAAATGAGAGAAAAAATGTTCATCATGGAATCAAAGAAATTTAGCACATCAGCCTCTCCCGTTCCATTCCGAGCAGCACAGCAGCAGCCCCGTGTGATGTCCTTCCACCTGGTTCTCTTACCTGGTACAGGTGCCAATGAAGGTAAAGTGGCACTGTGAAGAAATCATATATATTTTAGAAAGCAGAAGTAAGTAAAGGAGCAGGCCCAGCCCACTCTGTGGGGTCCAGGGACAGAGTCCCGGATTTGCCCTCAGAAGACCTGGGTTTGAATCTCAATTCTCCTACTCTAACGACATCATCGTGGGCACATACTCATTCTCTCCATGCCTCAACTTCCTCATCTGCACAACAGAGATAATGTGGTGCAAAGCTCGTAGGAGATGGTCAAATGCACGTAAGCTGAGTGACACAGGTGCCTCGTGCAACTTATTGCTAAGAACCACCTTCCGTTGGCTCAGCTGAGGTCTGTGACTGCTCAGAACAGATCTGGGAATGGAGAACAGAAAGCAGGGCGGGCTACACAGAGTCGTGCCGGGGGCAATGGGGAACGCCTCACAGGGACAAGCATCAGAGGGTGTAGACAGAGCCCGGGGGTCTTCTCTAGGACCCCTTGAGGAAGCAGCCACCACCCATCAGAGGAAATGGAACCATCCTTAAGTGAGGCAGGGAGACTAGAGGGCAGACACAAGTCCACCGAGCAGGAGCAAATGGTAGAGATGGTCAAAGGTCGCACGGTCCTGTTCCCAAATCCGGGACAAACTCCCCTGACATTCCACATCTGGCACTTGAGCTTGAAGACACTCAGGCATGTGTGCACGCATGAACACGCACGCATGCACGCACGCACATTATGCTCTGCTGAGTATGAATCACAGAAAGGGTTATTTGGCCTCCCTGCAGAAAGAACCAGGCAAGCCGAGGCGCCCCAGCTAAGGAGGCATCCCTCAGACCTGCAAATCCACAGTGTCCTGTCCCTGCCCCTTCTCAGGACTGAAAGGGAATCTGTCCTCTTCCATCCTCCTGTGGTCCCACAGCGCTCCGGCTTGCCCAGCTGGCCTTTCCGTGATGGAGGCAGTGTGACGAGTGGGCAGCCCTGGGCTCTGAGCTCTTGTCCCGGCCCTGTTCCTAACTAGAGGCAGGACCTCGGCAATCCACCTTTCCCCTGGTGCCTCAGTTCCTTCATTGGTAGAACTGGGATAAGAGGCCCAATTGGGCTTCCCAGTTGGGCAAGTGTAAGGAGTAAACGGGGGCTGCATTCAAAAGTGCCCCC